ACGTCCATTATAATCCCCTCTTTCTTTGACGATCCTTTGTTCATGAAATTCCAATCCTATAAGTGTTGTTTGTGCTTCTTCGGATAGCATCATCCGTGTGTATATGAGGCTTTTTTATTCATCCGTGGGGCATAACAACATCTCTCCTGAAGCTAATCTTTTTTTCCATGACTTGCGCCCAGTAGTTTTCAATTATTTCAAAGACCATCAGGTAGTTTTTTTCATTTCCACAGAAACTTGGATAACTCTCGGGGTCTCACACAAAATACGAACATTCCATCTACCCAAGTTATTGTTGCTGTGGTTATCAGAACTGGTAGAGGCTTCGTGACTTTCGAAGAAACTCGGCTTTCATCATGAAACTCTGTAACTGTTCTAAACGAAAACCTTCTAACTCCCAAAGTAGAGTTTAAATAGTTTGAATTATATTAAATGGTTATTGTTTTTTTAGCAAGCTGGATTTTCACCGAATGTGGTCGCTAACCCCATGCACAACTTTCCTGCCTTATCCGGTTTTGAGACCGGACGTAATCCCAGAACGGTCGGAGACGGAGTTATTTTACTAAGTATATGTATTATTAAATTAGAATTGATTGGGGAACTCATCTTTTCATTTATTTAATAATACAAAACATGATGTAGTTTTTTCAATACAACTCCAATAATTAAATCAGATACTTACACCCTAGGGAAAGTTCTATCAGTTAAGCTAATATTTTTTATTTGTTTCATAGATATTACCCTCTAAAAATCTATCACTGATTAGTATAACTATTTATATAATATCCAAAAGTATTGTTGTAGAGGTTGAATGTTTGTATGAACCAACTAGAAAGGGAATTAAATCACTGTCATTAATATAACAATTCTGAATCAAAAATATGGTGTTAGTTAATCATGACCTCGCTGGCTTTTATTAACGTCTAGTTTTCTTAGGTTGAAACTTTGATACTGTCTGATCAAGGATTATAGACTACAGTATCCTGTTTAATTGTTTCTTAGTTCTTATAAAATAAAGTCATACCTTCAGTTAGTTGAAAGGCTGTAATTCATTGAATATACAGCATCCTTAACAATGAAAAATAATTTGTATTTTGCTATCATTAAATGTATTCTAATACAAATTGGATATAGCTGAATGAAAATACAAGTGTTAATAAATGGCTATTGACTGAAGTGTATGTTTTTCAAGTAAGGCTAGTTGAATCACATGAAATGAATATTTTACTTTTTTTGTTATAAATATCCGTCGTCGTTAAAACTCGATTCTATGAAAAAAGCATATGTGACTTTTTATTCATGCAATCATTAAGCTTATCTACTTAGTGAAAGGTGAACAATGATTAGTGAGTGAAAATAGTTTAGCGCAACCTACTTTGATGTTAATTTGCGGCTTACTCAGTCAATCCTATGTAGACCAAAGGAGAAAATGACAAATGAAGAAAAACCACAGATCATCTACAAAGCAAGTTGCTCAAATTGTGAAAAACACTACATAGGACAAAGTGGACGCCCTCTTCAGCTTCGTTTACGTGAACATCAATTAGCAGTCAAATGCCACGAGATTTCTTTGCTTATATCAATACACACCGACAATTATGGACACACATTCGATTGGAACAATGTGGAAATACTGGATAGGGGGAGGACAAAGAACACGAGAGAGTTTCTAGAAGCTTGGCACTCAGGTCAATCAGTAGTTAACAACAACAACAACATCGACATTGACCCAATTTATCAACTAATCAGAAAAATCATAAGCGACATAGGATGAAGAAACAGAGCAAAAGAGGGATATAATCAAAACAAAGGTGCAAACAACGGCAGGTTTAAGGTCAACAGCAACCTATCAAGATCGAGGTTATCAGAACAGGCTACGGGTCAAACGTGGAAAAATTAGAATACTTCACTTCTATCTGAAGTTTGTGCTGATGATGTTGTTCAAAGGAACAATGGGAGTTCCACAACCAAAACATCTAGCTCAGAGAACTAAGCACCACCCCAATAATCCACCTGAGCTACAAATTTTCTCCACCATTTCATAGTCAAGTCTATTCGTATAATGACAGATTACTCAAGAATTGAATGATGAAAATTGATTGATATAATTTTGTTTCCAACTATATCTAATTACGTAGAAAAAAATACGAATTACAGCTGATTTGTCAAGTACTGTACATGCAAAGATATATCAAAGCGTTCAGATAATTGAAAATAATACTTATGCATTCAACATGTATATATCATTACTTCTGAAAATTTAGGTTCATACTACAGCACATATTTAGGTCATAAGTTATTAACTGCGCTAACTTTCTGTTGTGTGCTGTCTGATATCCAATTGTAATACTCATAAGTAAACGTAAAGACAAACTCGACTGGCTACCTGAGTGAAAAAAAATTGAGATTAAAAAGCACGTTTTTTATTAGCCAACCGAATCATGGATTAGCCGTAAACTCATTCATATCTATACATTTATATATTGTAAAATTCTAAATCAAATCTTTCCATCAATTAAATGTCTTATTCATTAGACAGAGAAGCTAAATATTAGCCAGTTGTGAGCACTTATCATTTTAGTCAATATTTAATTTTACCTTGTCTATCATTTTCATCATATATTTCAGCATACATAGTTTATTACTATTCATACACATAAGCTAACATTGATTTAAATCATATATAACATTACTTTTATCAAAACCGATTATCTAGTTATGAGTAGATAATTACACACATAGTTTGATAATTAGAAACTTTATGTCAATTATGAGAACATCTATAAGAATAAGAGTAAAGAGAAGAAGAAAAGATTAAAAAAAAAACACATGAACAACCTTGTAATCATTAATTGGATGCAGGATTTATCGTGGAAATAATAGTTCTCTTACCTAAAATTGCCAATTAATTCATTTATCAATCGAGTCATTATTATTATTATTATTATTATTTAGGAGTTTGGGCGTTGTAAAAGAAGAATCATGTAAAAAAAAAGATAAGTATTAAGTTGTATAATATATGATTACCTTATTTAGATAATTGATTGATGTAAATGGATAGAGCTAGATATTTGAAATTATTTTAGTAAAGCAATACATTAATATCAAACAGAGAATGTTACTATTTGTCAAGAACATGTTTGACAATTACACAATATTAAATAACTTAAAATTTCTCATTGACAGTCAACTTTTTATATCATTGGTTATCATCTACTGATGGTTTCTTAGGAATGAAAGATGTTTTGTTGTAGTTCCATGCAACATATTTGCAAAGTTTATTGTGTGCATAATTTTATTTAGTGATTAAAATAAGAGAAATTACTTAAGCTCATTTTATGATGTTCCTAACTTACTAAAATATTTTATTGATTGGGCTCTGTATACTATCGCACTCATTGAGGTTTTGGGGAAAATTTGTAGCTCAGGTGGATGATTATGTTGAAGTTTCATTCTCTGAGATACGTGCTTTCTTTGTGGAGCTTTCATTGTTCTCCGGAAACAACATCATAAGCAACAATTTCAGGTAAAAATGAAGTGTTTGAATTTTCCTTCACGTTTGACCCGTAGCTTGTTGTGTTAACCTTGATCCTGATTGGTTGTTACTGGCCTTTTACCTGTCACTATCTGCCTCTTTATCTAAATTGTATCTTCATATGGATCAAGAACCAAATCGAAGTGGAATAATATCAGACAATGACAGGTTAGAGGTCTATAACTAGCAATTAAGATCGAGGTTAATAAAACAAGCTACGGGTCGAACGTGGAAAAAATCCCAATACTTCATTTTTACTTGGAGTTTGTGCTGATGATGCTGTTTCTGAAGAGCAATGAAAGCTTCACAATCAAAACATTCAGCTTAGATAGTGAAACTCCATCATAAGCTTTAATTATTGCTTATTATTAGAAAATTTCCACTTAGTTATATGATAATATTTAACTAATGAAAAGAAAACAAACACTGAGATAGTTTGACATTTTTTCAACACCTTCAATACTAGCAAAAGAATTCATCGTTAATGTAAACTTATCTGTGGTTGACAAAGATGATGGGACGCGATTAAAACAACATCAGTGAATTTTTAGCTAATTTCTAACCGATCAGAAAAGAGTTTGTCAACGGACATTTTAAAGAAAAAAAATAACAATCCTCAAGTGCAAACAGATTTACATAATTAATAAATTCATTGACGTACTTATACAGACCACTGTCTATAATTGGAAGAACAATGACACGGGAATTTATTTTTATTTGTTTCCAACTATCCAGCTTTTTAAACCTCTGAAAGAACTGAAATAAATCTCTAAGGTTACCTACATTGTTTCTAGTAAGTGTTACACATTTAGGGTTAGGACCATAAATTAAGGGTTATAGCTTTTATCGCGAAATGGTGTGCGCTGTACTATAAAAATGCTCGCTAGTTAAATGGATGAACGAAGTTCAAGCAGCAATCTGGGATTGGCTATCTGATTATTCCATTCTTAGGATAGAGTGCTATCAAGTTAATATTTGTTCCAAAACGGTTAGGATTTAGGGATATATATACTCATGTACTCAAATATCATATAAAACATAAAAGCCGTGTTTGGTATTCTGGTTTTCTTTTCCACATACTACCCTTTTCGAAATCAGAAGTAACTTATAGTTGTTTTTATTGTCTGTCTAATATTTGATGGTTGTTAGTCAAAAGATCGCAATAGGTATAATTTAATTTATCCAATGAAATGATAGTCTGAACCAAAAAGATATTCATATGACCAACCAATCAGAATTATTGCACAATTTTTTCACTTCGACCAATCATAAGTTACAAGTCATTTTGCATTATAGTCTTTCATGATGATGTGAATTTGTCTAGCTTGCTTGTGTCTTATTATTCCCATGTATACACACTCCTCAACTGTATTACAGTAATTCAGATAAATATAGGAATTAAGAGCATGACAGGAACAAACTCAGGTTATTTACTTGGTATCTAACATATTTTATCACTAAAGAAATGTTGGGTTTTTTACAGTATCGAATATTATTTCTTTTTATCGATATTCTATCATTCAGCAATTATCATACCAACGGATTCATATTAAATTTACCATTGAACATTTCGGATTCATCAACGTTACAATTAAGCGACCATTCATTGCATACGGAAAATCTTACAGTCAATAATACTAATTCTTTCAATGAAAGCATCCTTGATCATAATCAAACAGAAGAAATAGATGAGGAGTTATTTGTCAAGAGTAGTGCTGGTGTCTGGGTGATTAGTGTAATGAGTGGGACATGTATATTAACCATCGCATTTATTGTTAGAGGTCTATTCTCACGAGCTGAAGCATTCCATGATGGTACAGAAAATCACCATGGTACAGATATTAACGGTGGATTAATTGGCGGTAATGGATTTCCTGGTGGTGGAGCTGATATGGGGTTCTTAACAACAAATATGACATGAATTGTGTTCTAAATAACACAACTTATTTTATACGTCTTGTGAAGAATTACTGTGAATTAGAAATTTGAACGGGTTTATTTATATGCGTCAAGTGTATCACATTATTGTGAAACACATGGGAAAATTCAAGTATATGTTTCGATATGTTAAAAATGAATGATATTTAAGAGGTTGTGAACCATTTCTAAGTTCATTGTTTCAGTTTTTATCAAGATACAAACGATAAAACATTTTGTAGTGTCTACAAAGAGCACAGAATTCAAAGGCTAAACAAATTCACAGGAACTATGTCCGTGAAATTTTAGGCCATTGTACATATATTTTAAAGACAGAAATGATAATTATTGTTTGCAGCTGTAACTACTTATTTGCTCTACCTTCTCAAAATAATCTCAATAAAACTATATTTTATGAAAAAAAAAGTGTGATGAACAAATATATTTTCAGTACATTTTTACTTCTTGTATTATTAATTGCAATTAGAAGAAAATCGAACTAATTAGGTAAGTGATTTTAGTGGGAAAAGTGAATTTTTCTAAATTCCTTCTTGTTAATTACCTGTTTAGTTACGGTTTATGAAAAAACGCATAAACACCTCGAACGAAGCTATTAAATCAGAAGTATTATTTCAATCTCATATAAATATATATTGAAGGTTAATTGTTGGAAATTCTGTGCCTGGTGCCACAGAATAGCCATACCATATATCAACATGATATCAATATATATATTTACTTTTGTTTGTGTGAATTCTTTTTTTCTTTTTATTCTATATCTATGGAGATAGGTTTTATTTGTGTTGTGATATCCTAAATATATTTTCTATACACACCTCACTAACCTACAAATAAGGCTAATATTGATTTTCTATAATTTTTAAAACAGTGATTTATTTTGATGAGGGCATCGATAGGCGATGGAAAATGTAATTTTTTTTATAGTCCATTGGCTCAAAACAATATTTTTTCCTAAAAAATATCTTCCAGTGCACAGATAGAATTTATTCTTTTTTCATTTACATATTTTCATTTTTATTAATTCAATTACCCATGATTCCTGAATTTTACTAATATATATAACTATTATATATACTTGACTGTTGAGCACAGAATAAAAAGTCCGTCATAAACTTGTGGCAACTCCTAGATGAATCTCATTTCACCGTTGACATATCTATTTACATATATATATATATATATATATATATATATATATATATATATATATATATATATATATATATATATATATATGTAAATGCTAAAGAAATGATTGCTCAGGTAAAATCCCAAAGAAAGATAACTTAAGAAAGTTTAGTATAAGTGTCTATTTCTCCTTCTCATTTCTTTATTTGATTTCATCAACAGATTTTAAATAGTTTAAATGGGTGAAAAACAGATAGTAGCATTGAAAACTTTACTAATTTGCATAGTTTTCTTTCTACATGTGAGTAAATACAACCTATTATAGATGAACTATCCATATGCAATAATAATATGAATGCGATCGATATTCTCAGTTAAATTCAACAATTATAGTAGTAGTACGTAGATCTAGAGGGTTGGAAGTTGTTATATGCCGGTAATTGTTTATATTAGTATTGCATAATTTGATCTCAGGTTGTAAAAGCATAATTATAATATAAATGAAGGACTTTCTACCAAAAGCTAAACAAACATATTGCAATATATTGATGATTGGATTAGAATAATCTTCACAATTCAGCTTAATTGACAGAATTAGATCAACACTTACAACTGGTCAATAATTATATATTCATTACTTCTAGGTGCTTGACGAGAATAAGTACTGTTTGCCACTGAGTAAGACATGATATTGTATTTTGGAAGGTTAATCTAAATTAAATAAAAATTAATATGATAGGTTCAAACAAAGTTTAATTTCAAATGTATGATTTTGTGAACTAAAGGAAAAACATTTTAATGACTTAATGATCAAAATTTTTGCTTATAATATCAATCACCTAATTTTCAGCAGAATAATTGTTACTTGAAACTCATTTTATTAATTGAAATTCAAAAAACCAGATTAGCTTGGGTTTCTCTAATACATTAGGTGTGGTCAGAAAAACATGGACTTGAAAGTGGTCATTGAATCACTTTTGTATGTCTATGACCTAATTCATTTGTCCTTAGTTATTCAAAATATTACTTTAGATTTAAAATATATTTAAAAGTGCAAATGGTACATAGTAAATTTCGAAGTGTTTGTAATTTACGTACAAATGACTTACCCAATTATCGAAAATCACCTTGTGAGTGGAGTTGAACAGAATTATAACGAGTTATATCTTGTTAAATAGTCATTTTTGTTAAAGTATATTTCATGTGGTAGGTTGTGTTAAAAAGATAAATTGCTCGTTGACAAACAACAGTTATCAGTTACCTGAATTGAACAGTTGACTGATAATAATATCCTTGTGAAATAATTAATCTTTATGCATAAACATATGCATATATATATTTTTAGGTCAGATGCCAAACCCTAACTGAAAAAACATAATTTTATAGTAAAGATGTTGTTTGTACTGTATAACCTAAAAAGTAGTAATTAATGCTTAACGACTGACTGATAAACTCCTAGTTCAATAAAAACCACACTCATAACATAACAAGCTCCACTCATAGTTTGCTTATGATTTACATCTGACCAGATTGTCTCAGTCTTCATCTTGTAGGCAGTGACCGAAGTGAAGTTGTAATGGTTTGACTAGTGATCAATAAATCTTAATTTGTCACTGTTTTAAACTCTCCACTTATGTCTTTTCTTTCGATAATGGTATAAGCCAGCAAAAAAAAAACCATTTTAGAGAAGCACACACCATTTCCTTTAAAACAATAGAGTAAAAATCTTATCAACTAGAGAACATATATTTCTTTTTTCATAGTTGATATTGTTATGTAGAAAATCTGAACCGATTACAATTATCACTTATATAAATTAACAAGCTAATTTAAGACAGGAAACTTATCAATCAAATTATGTCCCCTGAAACGACAAAATTCAATGTTTACTTAAAAAGGAAAAAAGAATTAATTCAGCAGATTTTCTGTTACATATATTAGGACTTCAGTAAGAGAATTATTTTGATGTTCGAGTAATGAAATTTTTGAACATCTAAGTAAATTCTAAAAAATTAAAACACCATCAGGTTATGAAATAAATTGTTATATCTAACAAAAATAAAATATAAACAAACAGGACCACAGTAGTAGCTTCATTTCAGTTTTGCGCAAATAACACTAACGATGATAGCTCAGAGTTGCCGAAATCTAGGATATTTAAACTTTTCAGTATTATTGATGAATACTGAGATGGAATTTAATTATTGGCAGAAAACAAATCTACCATGTCTACTGCATGATGGATTAGATGTACCGGCACAGTAGATGATATTCAAAAGAAACCAGTTCGGACATGATCAAATAGTTCTAAATAATGCTTTTTCACCCAACTGCTTTTGTCATCAGAAGCCTAAAAGCAGTAGCTTTTAGCTTTATAAATTGAAACTTAACAGTTTAAAAATACTCCGTAGAATATTCTATGTTTTTAAATATTGAATTTTGTTATAAGATTGTGATATAATAAGATATAGTGATGACAATGTGATAGAAATTTAAGGAACTTGAGAAAATTTAAGAGAATACTATCAAATCGCTTTTGAATTAACGTATCGTCATTGTTACTGTGTCGATTCACAAAATAATGAATAAATTATGAAACTAATTAGTTTCATTATGAATCGTCCAACAGAGAAAGATTTGAATGAATGATATGAGCTGAAAATTGATAGATAAGCAATTAAAATCTGACCTTTAGGACAATTATATAGTTAAACTAAATTCATCATTAATACCGCATATTCATTATTGAGATGTTGACTATAGAAATTCCAAATAATCTCTATGAAAAATGATTGAATCTTTTCTGTACCAGTTGTCAGATTTTGTAATGGTTTTTATTATTATGGTATGCATTATTTTATTTTTACACGCTTGAAATCATCAATCAATCAATCATTGTTAGACCACCATTAGAAACCTGGAAGCACTGGACGGCTGTTTCGTCCTGGTATGAGAATCCTCAGCAGTGCGCCTCCACGACTCCTGTACCTCGCAGAATTCGAACCCAGGACCTTTGGTATTATGCGCGAACGCCTTACCATCAGAGTTAGACATTAACACCGCTGGATGCCGGCCCAGTGGCCATTTGGGAATGCAGTGTCTACCATATTTTATTGATTGATTAGCACCATTCTCTATATTCTACAACAGAGTGACTTTGTACCAAGAGTAGTTAACATGACGAGCTCGAATTACAAATTATCCCAGATAAACTGCTGATGAATTTTGAAAATTATCAATTTTCAGATCATGTTTTACTTTTGTTTTAGCAATAGTTAAACAAGTAAAACAATATCATGTTTTTTGTTTATTCACGAAAAACAATAACAGTCTAACTATGAACATTTTGTCTGATCATAAAGTAAATAAGCCTTTCGGAAGATCAAAAAAATCTGTTGACTTGCTGATTTTTTTTTAAATGAGATTAAAATACGTTTATTAATATAAATAATCACCAATAGTTTATAAATGTTTATATTAGGCTTTGCTTACATGATGTTGATGTAATTATTTCAGAACTTTTAAGATAAATGCGTTTTATGGAAATTAGAGAAAATTTAAAAAAGTATTATTATTAGGAAGTAAGTTAACTTCTTAAAATCTTATTTATTATTCAACAACAAATCTTTATCTAATAAACTATATATTATTGAAATATATGTATACTTTGCCAGTATGACTGTGAGATAGTTGATGTGATGATGTACTGGCAGTTTTATCGGTAACACTGACTATTTACATAAAGGAAAAATAGACTTCTCTAGTTACTTAACCAAATACAATCGACACAAATGAAAATTTGATTGAAGAAATGTTATTTGAATCCTACTTGAATAAAAATCAGAAAACAAGATCAACCATCAAATGACTGTATTTCATTTGAGGTTGTCATTTCTGCATATAATGTCTGACCGAGGTAGTATGAATCAGTGTTGCTTACTAGGATAATAAACAACTGATTATGGACACAGAAAAATTTTACACTAACTGAAAAGGACAAGATATATCTTCATTCATTATGTCAAACACGAACAAAGTATTTCATTCAATGTGATATATATCCATTTTTAGTATCGGGAAAATGGATATGTTATGGTGTAGAACATTCTATAATAAAATTAAATAAGAATGTTGTCAAAAAGAGTATATGCAATCGATTTCATTGAAATAGGAGACCAAAAAAATCTAGTCCAGGCAAGGAAAACGCTGTTACACAACTGATATCGTGTATGCGAACGAATACAAAAGT